TCTCTTTCTCTTTAGCCAGAAAGATTTTTTTTTGTTTTGTTTTGTTTTTGTTTTTCGAGACAGGGTTTCTCTGTAGCTTTGGTGCCTGCCCCGGAACTAGCTCTTGTAGACCAGGTTGGCCTCGAACTCCCAGAGATCTGCCTGCCTCTGCCTCCCGAGTGCTGGGATTAAAGGCGTGCGCCACCACTGCCTGGTGATAATTCTATTTTTAACATTAATTTCTTCCCTGGCAAACAAAAGCAAGCAAATGAAGGCTTGTATTTGTTCTCTACTATATTTCCCTAACTTGTCTTGAGAATTTGATATTGTTTCCTTATAGTGCCAAGGAGCTAGTTCTAACCTGGGGCCATTTTATTACCAGGCAAGTGCTCTACTACTGAGCTATGTCCCCAACTGCCCTAATAATTTTACTTTCAAAATTTATTACTATTATTGTGTGTGTGCATGCGAGGGTGAGAGGACAACTCTGTGGATCGGTTTCTTTTCCACTTAGTTATGTTGGTTCCAAGAATCAAGCGCAGGTCATCAGGCTTGCTTAGCAAGTTTTTTGTTTTTTAAACCTATTAAGCCACTTTGCCTGCCCTTTCCATGTTGTACGATTTCAAAGAGGTAAACTATATATATATACACATATATACACACACACACACAACCATGCAATAAACTATATTCTAACAACACTAAGTAAAACATGCTCCAAAGGTTTGTTTCCAGTCAAAAATTTTAAGTTTAAACAACCACTCAACCTTATACTAGGTGATGCCCCTAAATCCTCATACTTAAGGTGAAGTATATGTGAAGACATCAACCAAGAAACAAAATCGAATCTCCATCACTGTAATATTTTAGGAACAATACTTACCACCAATTTTTTTCCTATTGTCCTCTACTTATATTCCAATGAGGCCTACCAACTCTTTACATCTTTATTCCTGTAGGCATTTAAATTGTAAAACAAAACCTAAATCAAAAACAAAGGTTGGGAAGCTGAGCAGATGGCTCAGTGTATCAGACAGCTTGCTATACAAGACCTGAATTCAAATCCCCAGTACTCACTTTAAAAAGGCACAGGTGCATATAATTCCAGTGCCGTGGGGCCGGGAGGAGCAGAGATAGGAGGACCACTGGGGGTTTAACTGTCAGCCTAGCTCCGGGTTCATAACAGATCCTATCTCAAAGGAGTATGGCAGACAGTAATAAAGTAGGACACTCTATGTCTTCCTCTAGTTTCCATGACCCCCCCCAGGGTACCACACACACACACACACACACACACACACACACACACACACACACACATCCTCTTAGGCTGGGGTAAATGCTAGGTAGAGTCCTTGCCTGGCATGTACAAGAGGCTCAGGGTTGCACTATCAGTGCCATTAAAAATAAAAGACTATCCAGTTTTTTTTTTAAATAGGAACTGGTTAACATAACAAAGTATAAGAATTCTGCAGAAAATACCCATTTTGATTTTGGATACTCTCTAATCTTCAAGCCCCAATGACGAAACTTAAAACTATCCAATGATCAGAAAGTCAGGCAGGCATAGTGGCAATCACAAGTAATTTTTTCAGTCTCTGGGAGGCTGAGGCAGGAAGACTGAGAAGATAACCTGGGCTATATAGTGAGACCTGCCTTAAAAAAAAGAAAAAATCTGGGCCAGAGAGATAGCTCAGAGATTAAGAGCACTGGCTGTTCTTCCAAAAGTCCTGACTTCAATTCCCGGCAACCATATGGTGGCTCACAACCATCTGTAGTGGGATCTGATGTCCTCTTCTGTCATGTATGCATGCATGCAGACAGAACACTGTATACATAATACATAAATCAATCTTTTTTTTTAAAAATCCAAAACAAGACTACGGATGGGGGGCTCAGTTGGTAAGTGTGTGCCTAGCATGTACAAATCCCTGGGTTGAGCCCCAATATCATGTACATCGTGTAACTTTCTGTGGTGGGGCAAGCCTGTCATCTTAGAACTTGGGAGGTAGAGGCAGGAAGATTAAGAAAAGTCCAAGGTCATTCTTGGCTACGTAGCACCGGGGAGACCAACCTAGGCAACACGACCTTGTCTTCAAAAAAAAAAAAAATACATTAAGTGACGATGGTTGCTTAACCTTGAGAATATACTAAAACTTAAAATTTCCAGTCATTTTTTAAGGCCTCTATTTTCATTTATAGTCACTAGCCCAATTTACTTGGCTCTGCAGAAAACTGGACTTAAATGGATTATGCTTATACTTAATAACACTTAAATGAGTTTACTTAATCATTGTTAGGAATTTGGTGTTTTTTTTTTTTTTTTCCGAGACAGGGTTTCTCTGTAGCTTTGGAGCCTGTCCTGGAACTAGCTCTTGTAGCTTAGGCTGGCCTCTAACTCACAGTCTGCCTCTGTCTCCTGAGTGCTGGGATTAAAGGTGTGCACGACCACCACCCAGCCTGAATTTGGTGTTTTTACATTTTCAACAGCAGGTGACTAGTTCTTTCTGACTGACGGCCTTTCCAGGAACAGTAAAGACTCTTGGCACCAAAGCCCCTTCCTCTACTGCATTTCAAGGAAAAGAAAAAAAAAGGGGGGGGGGCAAATCACCGTTTCCAGGAGAAAGGAGAGACAGTTGTCATCAGCAGGCACACCCTAAAGGTTATTCTAGAGCCCCACTCACCACAACTCTCCTACTAGAAACACCAAACACAGACTGGATTGATAACGAAGGCAACAGGCCACGTACCTTATGGATCATTTACTCACCATCAAAAGCATTTGTGTTCCCCTCAGTGAGTTACAGGCTTAGTGCTACTGCCATCTGTTTTTTTCTGCTTTCCCCAAGCAATATTCACTGATGGTAGCATTTTATAAACCCACAGTTTCCAAACTTTAGTCCCATATAGCTTTAGACTAATACACAGGCAATATTCAGACACCACACACAGAATGTTTATATTATTATTTCTCCTTGATGGATACAGGTTCTTACTCTAGCCCAGACTGAGCTGGAATTCATGGAAATTCTCCATGTTTCTCAAGTGTTGCACTCACAGAAATCACACAATTAAAAAAATTTGGTGGCGAACACCTTTAATCCCAACACTCTGGAGACAGACATAGGCAGTTCGAAGCCAGCCTGGTCTAAAAGTGACTTCCAGGATAGCCAGGGCTGTTACACAAAGAAACCTTGTCTGGAAAAACCAAAAAGCAAATAAATAAAATAGAATTTTAAGCCAGGCATTCGACTTTAATCCCAGCCATAGGTTCGAGGCCAGTCTGGTCTACAGAGCAAGTTCCAGGACAGCCAAGGACAGCTAAGGCTACACAGAGAATCCCTGTCTTGAAAAACAAAACAAAGTTGGTTTTCCTTGTTTAAAGGGAAGTATCAACCACACACAAATAAAAGAAATGCCAGTCAATAAACATTCAAACCCCATGGTGGGGGGGCAGGTAAGTATGACAAATCCCTCATGCATGATACAGCCCCAAAGTTCATTCTTCACCCCAGCCACCCAAAACAGTCTCATCTAAACCGTGCTTACACATGTTCCTCACAAAAGCATTTCCCTAAACACCCTTTCACTCCTGGAGAGCAAACTGAAGCAAAAGTTTCCTAAGAAACTCATTTCCAAGAGCACTTTGCTTATTTTTGGCATTTATGTATTTATTACTTTATTTTTAGAGGGACTTTCCAGATAGTACCAGTGGCCTTCACCTAAAGATCTTCCTACCTGAGCCTCCTGAGTCCCCGGGGTCACAGACAAGCACTGCACACCTGGAAGAGGGAGGCTCGGTGACACTGATATTTGTTTTCTCTGCTTTCCCTAAGCATCCGCCTGCCTCCACCTCTAGAGTTCTGGAACTACAGACATTACCTGGTGTACCACCACACAGGTTAAGGTCCAGAATTTAAAACACAGAAATTAACAATACTCTCACTTGAAATGAGCTCAAACGATCTGGCCCACAGCCTCCCTGCTAAAGAACTAAAGAGTCAGCCTTTTTCCTTCCCTTTCCCCTTTCTCTTTAAAAAGACAATACCGCATTTACTCCAATAAGCACCAGTGCGAAGGCAATACTTAAGTTCACTCAACAGACACTGGTACAACACCAGTCCCTGAAAGCAGGTTACCATCCCCACAGTCAGCTTGTAAAGAGATGTCTAAAGACTGAAACTAGAAACGACATAAAGTGTATCTTGTAGTTGCTGCGTGGGACAACTATGAAGTTATCAGAAATATTCAAGTAACAGACTAAGCTACCAATACACGCACACAAACCGCTCTTATAGCAAGCAGTCCGTATAAGGTCAACACTTTCAAGCAATTAAAGTCTAAACGTGCCACTCAGAAGGTCTTAAATCCCACTTAAAAACCTCACACAAGTCAATGAGCTTTCCTACCACATGTTACTACTGAGGAATCTTCCTGACATTTTTGAACCTTTGAAGTTTTCAAACTATTAAGAATGATAAAAGGTCTTTGTATTGACAGCCAACAGTTTCTGGCGAACCGCAGGCCTGCAATGCATCTTGGGATTCCTTCAGGTCGACCGGTGCCACAGATATTTAAAACGCAATTACAGTTCCAATAGTAGAAACTGCAGCCGGAGCACTAGCTCTCTGGGTGAGGCGGAGAGATAAGTCTTGTCCCCCAACTCCTAGGCTCTCACAGCGCCCACCTGCGGGACTTCAGGCCCCATCAGTCCCCACTTTTGGGCCTCGTGGCACTGCCTGGCCGAGGGCCTGCCGGGTCCCATACGGTTCCCACGTCTGCGGGTAAACCGCGGCCTTCGGCGAAGGGCGAGCGCCACCGGCTCTCCGCTCCTCCCCGCCCGGGCGCCCCAAGCCAGCCAGCTCCGGGACTGGAGGTGCCCCACCCAGACCAGCCGGCGCCGCTGTCAGCGCCCCACGTGCAGGCCGCTCTGGCCGCGCGTCCTCCCCACCCACGCTGGCGCGGAACTCCGGCCTCAGCCCGCCGCCCGGGCCCTGGGAACACCCAGCCCGGCCCTTTACCCGAAGGGCCTCCCGTGCTGCTGCTCGCTCCGTGGTCGCCGCCGGCCGCGCCGGCGAGGGATGGCGGCGGCTGGGCCGGGCCCCGCAGGAAGGACGGCACGAATTCTGCGGCGTGGACGTTGGGGACGAAGGGCTTGGCGTTGACGTTGAGTTGCCGGCTGAAGGCCGCACTGAGGTTCTCACGCTGGGTCTCAGCCACCGCCGCCATGGAGCCGGCGCCGCAAGGCCCCGGCCCGGGGGCCTCCATATCCGTCTGGTCCCAGCAGTCGGGCGCAGAGTCGCTGCTGCTGCTGCTGCTCCCGCCACCGCCGCCTCCGCCGCCTCCGCCGCTGCCGGGATCCATGATCGGGGGGGCCGTGTGTGTGGTGAAGAGAGGGCGGGAAATGGAGGCGGGGGCGGCCGACCGGGGAGGAGCAGGCCGCGCTGACCCAGCGAGGAGGACAAGACAGAGGAGCCGGAGGCCAACGACTCACTCCTCGGCGTCTTGGGCGGCAGCTACAGTCCAGACTGGGCACTCGCGACCGCGGCGACAGCAGCTCAACCCTCCTCGTGTGTGCGAAAGGATCTCCTCCCACCCAACCCCAACTACCGCCGCCGGCCTCACCGCCAACCCCACGCTTGGCGTGAATTGACCCCTCGCTACTACCCGTACCTTCGCCTCGGTAGTTCCCGGCTATGTTAGCCTGCGTTCCCGTCTACGCAGCTCGGCCGACAGATAAACTACAGATCCCGACAGCACCCGCGCAAACCTGCTGCGGTTTTCTCAGGGGCCGACGGGAGTCGGAGTTCAGCGATCAAGCGTCACCGGAAGCGGCTGGAGCTCCCGGCAGGCAGCGCGAGGAGGCAGAGGTCTGGTGGCCGACCGGCTGCCCCGTCTGTTGCAGGGTGGGGGCAGGGGCAGGCCCTTCTTTGCTGGGGCAGGGCGGTGGGCTGGGCCCTTCAGCACGCGGCGACGATCCAACCAGCCCGTGAGGACATCAACAGCAAAAAAATTTTTTCTTCCCCACTTTCAACACCCTTTCTGCCTTCTGTGTTCCTCAGTCTCTGTACCTTGTTCTTTTTCTCGCCACCCCAACCAGAGTTTGCCCTACATTTCAAAGCCGGCGGGGAGCGTCTTTCCTTTTATGTATTCATTTGTGGAAGAGGCAGTAAAACCTGAGATGTTACCGTTTAAACAGCAGAGTGGCTCATAAAGGAATGGGCCCAGGATGTACGGCAGAAGGGATTGTTAACTGGAAACTTCTGATGACTCACGTTATGTTTGACTAGTCATTAAAAGCCCTCACCTAAACTTTTTTCCATCTGTTCCTCTTCCCTGCCAGATTTCCGAATTAATCATGATTGCCATATTTGTTAGTGTGTCCAGCGGTGCCAATGGGCGATTTGGGTTCTTCCAGTTCCTTATCCACTTTTAGGTGGTTTCTTTTTGAATAGCCAGATTTGTCAACTATATTCACAGTACTTTAATAATAACTGCATCTCACACTTACAGGTTACATTTTAGTAAATGTGGGGAAAATGACATGAAGTACAGTTCACCTTTAGTCCCTTACTGCAGGAAGTAGGAAAAACTCGGTCTAATTAGGTACCTGTTAACTTCTGTAAATCTCCTGGAGGCCAAGACACAGAAAATCTTACTGTTAATTTTACTTCCTCTGAAAGGTGTCTAGACAGAATGCAGCCAATCTGCTTGGAAATTACAGAATAGTGTGTAAAGAAGATGTTTTTACAACTTTATTTTTTAAAATCTAGATCTAAGTTGGAATGCTGACTTTAGACAACTGTATTGTGAAGGAGCTAAGGGTGAATTGTTGCCTAAGGAGAGAACTAAACACGAAGCTCTCAGTTTTGTTTTGTTTTTCTTTTCTTTTGTCTTTTGTCTTTCTTCTCCTTCTCCTTCTTTTTAATGTATGCAGTGTTCTACCTGCATATATGCCTGCATGCCAGAAGAGGTCATCAAATCTCATTATAGATGGTTGTGAGTCACCATGTGGTTGCTGGGAATTGAATTCAGGACCTCTGGAAAAGCAGCCAGTGCTCTCAACCTCTGAGACATTTCTCCAGCCCCTCTCAGTTACTTTTTACAGCAAGCCCTCAAACTAGGAATTTTTTTCTTTTATGGTTGGTTAGTTGGGTTTGTTTGTTAAGCAGGGGCAGCAGCAGCCCAGGCTGACTTAGAAATCCTGACCCTTTTATCTCCACTTTCCAAGTACTAAAATTGCTTACAGATATACCTCCACACTCAACTTTAAGTAGTGTTTTGTGGATGACTTTTTTTTCTTGTGTGTGTTTTAAGACAAGGTCTCACTGTGTGACCCCGGATGACTTGAACCACTGGAAACTGTACAGCACCACTCTTTTCTCCTTTTAGTTGGTGTCTCCATTTTCTACTCAAGATTTGCATTCCTCAGCCCACTCCAGAGACAATGTCCACATGTGCATGCAGCTGACTGGAGTAGCTCACCACAGTCTTCCAACCACCCTGCCATGTATAGAGCCAAACCCTAGGACGCTGGCTGATCACATTCTGATAATGTTAGCTCTTAACAACTAATTGAATTAACAGTTTCTATGCAGTGTCAGAAATTGCTAAAACTGTGGTTTAGAAAAGCAGTTCATGAGCCCAGTGTGTTGGCTCAATCCTGTAATCCCAGTACCAAGGAGAACAGAGGCAGGAGGCTCCCTATCAATTCAAGATTAGCTGCTATTTAATCTGGGATGGATGGACGTCTGCACCTCCAGCATTGAGACTGTAAACATGTGCTATTACGACAACCTTCCTTTGGCTTTCAAAGGCATTGGCTTACCAGATCGAGCTCCAGCGGGAAGAAAAATGCTTGCTAACAACTACTACTGTGCTAAAAGTGAGCAACTTGAGTCCAGGGCTGTTGTTTTTGTGTCCATCACCTAGCATAAGTTAGGCAAATAAAATGCACTTGTAGGGGTGATGGAGAGATGGCTCAGCGGTTAAGAGCATTGCCTGCCCATCCAGAGGTCCTGAGTTCAATTCCCAGCAACCACATGGTGGCTCACAACCATCTGTAATGGGGCCTGGTGCCCTCTTCTGGCCTGCAGGCATACACACAGACAGAATATTGTATACATAATAAATAAATATTTAAGAAAAAAATGCACTTGTAGGTGTAAAATGACAGGACTGCCCTTTATCATTCAGGACTTTTGTTGTTGTTTTTGGTTTTTGGGTATTTTTTTTGTTTTGTTTGTTTTTTGTTTGTTTGTTTGTTTGTTTTTGAGACAGGGTTTCTCTGTATCTTTGGAGCCTGTCCTGGAACTAGTGCTTATAGACCAGGCTGGTCTTGAACTCACAGAGATCCGCCTGCCTCTGCCTCCAGAGTGCTAGGATTAAAGGCATGCACCACCACAACCCGGCTCATTCAGGATTTTTGAGGTACAGACTAGGTACTTAATTTATGTTTGTGTGTGTGTGTGTGTGTGTGTGTGTGTGTGTGTGTGTGTGCTACAACACATACATGGAGGTCAGAGGACAACTCTTGGGACTATTCTCACCTTTTATCTTTTNAGAGCAATCAGGGTTCCCTACCCTGTGGGAAGTCCAAAGACCACCCACCTCCATCCAGGTCTAGTAAGGTGAGCATCCAAACTGCCTAGGCTCCCACAAAACCAATAGGTGCAGTAGGCTCAAACACCCATTGCCATTGTTCTTGAGGTCTCAGTAGTCCTCATTGTCTGCTATGTTCAGCGAGACCTGTTTTAACCCAGGCTTTTTCAGACCCAGGCCAGCTGGCCTTTCACCTTTTATCTTTTGAGGCAGGGTCTTTCTTGTTTCTGCCATGCTTTGTACTCTAGACTAGCTCGCTGCAGAGCTTCTGCGCCTGTTGTCTTAACGTAGGAATGCTGGGATTGCAGATTCATATCGCCATATCCACCAGGTTGGTGGTTGTTGTTGTTTTAATGTGTTTATGAGTACATGTTATGTTTCTGCATACCCAGTGTTCACAGAGGGCAAAAGAGAATGCTGGAACCGGAGTTGCAGGGTTGTGAGCCACCATGTAGGTGCTGGGAAATGAACTCCAGTCTTCTAGAAGAGCAGCCAGTGCTCTTAACCACTGAGCCGTATCTCCAGCCTCATATCCAGCTTTTTTTTATCTGGTGTGGTGATATGGTTAGAATAGGAATGGCCCCCATAGACTCATGTGTTTGAATGCTTGGTCCACAGGGAGTGCCACTATTAGGAAGTGTAGCATTGTTTGAGTATGTGTGGATTTGCTAGAGGTAGTGTGTCTCTAGGGAGGCTTTGAGATCTTAGAAGCTAAAGCCACTTCTCTTCCTACTGCCGGCCAATTCAGATGTAGAGCTCTCAGCTCCTTCTCCAGCACCATGTCTGCCTGCATGTAACTGTTTCCCACCAATGAGGTAATAGACTAAACCTCTGAACCGTAAGCCACCCCAATCAAATGTTTTCCTGTGTAAGAATTGCCATGGTTATGATGTCTCTTCATAGCAGTAGCACACTGACAAAGACATCTGGTTCTGGGGATCCAACTCAGGTCATTAGGCTTGCATGGCAAGCACTTTTTTTCTGGTTCTTTTATTATTATTGTTGTTGTTTTTATTGAGCTATACATTTTTCTCTGTTCCTCACTCTTCCTCCCCCTCCTCTTCTACCCTCTGCTTCTACCCAAGCTCCCAATTTACTCAGGAGATCTTGTCTTTTTCTCCTTTGTATTTAGATCCATGTATGTCTCTCTTAGGGTCCTCTTTGTTGTCTAGGTTGTCTGGGGTTGTGGAATGTAGGTTGGTTTTTTACTTGGTTTTATGTCTAGAAGACACTTATAAGTGAGTACATATTTGTCTTTCTGGGTCTGGGTTACCTCAATATAGTTTTTTCTAGATCCATCCATTTGCATGAAAATTTCAAGATGTCATTATTTTTTACCACTGTGTAGTACACATTTACCACTGTGTAAATGTATTTCTTTATCCATTTTTCATGGGGCATCTAGGTTGTTTCTAGGTTCTGGCTATTATGAATAATGCTGCTATGAACATAGGTGAGCATATGTCATTGTGGTATGATTGAGCATCTTTTAGGTATATACCCAAGAGCAGGATTGCTGAGGTAAATTGTTTCCTAATTTTCTGAGAAATCGCCATACTGGTTTCCAAAGCAGTTGTACAAGTTTGCACTCCCACCAGCAATGGAGGAACATTCCCTTTACCCCTCATTCTATCTAGCATAAGCTGTCATCAGTGGTTTTGATCTTGGCCATTCTTACAGGTGTAAGATGTAATCTCAGAGTTATTCTGATTTGCATTTCTCTGATGGTTAAGGATGTTGACCATTTCTTTAAGTGTCTTTCAGCCATTTGAGATTTGTCTGTTGAGAATTCTCTGTTTAGATCTATACCCCATTTTTTAATTGGATTATTTGTTCTTTTGATGTCAAGTTTCTTGAGTTCTTTGTATATTTTTTATATTTATTTATTTATTTATTTATTTATTTATTTATTATGTATACAATGTTCTGCCTGTATGCCTGCAGGCCAGAAGAGAGCTCTAGAACCCATTACAGATGGTTGTGAGCCACCATGTGGTTGCTGGGAATTGAACTCAGGACCTTTGGAAGAGCAGGCAATGCTCTTAGCCACTGAGCCATCTCTCCAGCCCCCTCTTTGTATATTTTTGAGATCAGTCCACTATCCGTTGGTGAAGATCTTTTCCCATTCTGTAGGTTCATGGCAAGTACTTTTATCCACTGAGCCATCTTCCTGGCTTAGGACTAATTTTTGATAGGATGTATACAAAGGATTAGTTTGACAGCCACTTTCTCTCGCAAAGCTATGCTCATTCAAGGTTTGATAATTCCTATCTTTCATTGCTACTAGTCTCGTTTGCTCTCTCCTACCCAACATGGTGCTAGAGAATTGAGCCTAGGGTCCGGCGTATGCTAAGCACGTGCTCTATCAAGAGCTCCACCCCTCCATCCTCCATAAAATACCACTGTCTTCTTTCAAAACCAAATTAGGATTTCTAAATGTGCTTTTTTAAACTCAGCTATATGGTACTTTTTGTTGTTGTTGTTGTTATTTTTTGCTTTTTTTTGTTTTTTATTTTTGAACAAAAATAATTTAAACGTTGCCCATAGTCCCATAGTCAATTTCTGTTGATCTCTATATTAGCTCTTGATAGGCTAGGTGGTAAGTCCATTGGAGCTCTAAAGTAGTATTGCAATTTATGGCTGACAGGTATTTTAAAATACAAAGTGAAATGGTTAAAAAAAACTTTCATACTAGCAATTTAACA